CATTTTTTTTGTACAGCATCTTCTGAAAAAAGGGAAATCATAGAAGAGACTTTTCCTAAATGGGCTAAGCGAAGGACAAGACTAGAGATTTTTATTTTATTTTATTTTATTTTATTTTATTTTATTTTATTTTATTGCAATCAGTTGGTCAGTAAACCTTGGTTTAGTTGTAAGGATGAGACATTCACTAAAGTTAATGTCAGAAAGAGCAACTTGGAAGGTGACTGTTGTGGAACCCAGTTTTAAAAAATTGGCAGGAAACTCTCAGATATCCCACGCTGCAATTTTTTCACTGATATGTCTCCTAAAGCAAGGGACATAAAGGAAAGAATAAACAAGTGGGACCTCATCAAAATAAGAAGCTTCTGCACAGCAAAAGAAAACATCAGCAAAATGAAAAGGGAGCCAACCATATGGGAAAATATATTCCCTAATGATACATCAGATAGAGGTTTGATCTCCAAGATATATAAAGAACTCACTCAAATCCACTCCAAGAAGACAAACGATGCAATCAAAAAATGGGCAAAGGACCTGCGCAGACGCTTTTCCAAGGAGGAGATACAGAGGGCCCAGAGACATTTGAAAGGATGCTCCGCATCACTAGCCATCAGAGAAATGCAGATCAAAACCACCATGAGGTTCCACCTCACACCGGTCAGAATGGCCATCATCAACAGATCAACAAACAACAGGTGCTGGCGAGGCTGTAGAGAAAACGGAACCCTAGACCACTGTTGGTGGGAATGCAGACTGTGCAGCCACAGTGGAAAGCAGTGTGGAATTTCCTCAAAAAGCTGAAAATGGAACTGCCTTTTGATACAGGGATTCCCCTGCTGGGACTATACCCTAAGAATACCAAAATGCCAATACAAAAGAACCTATGCACCCCAATGTTCATAGCAGCACAATTTACAATAGCCAAGTGTTGGAAGCAACTAAATGCCCATCAGTAGATGATTGGATCAAAAAGTGATGGTACATATACACAATGGAATACTTCGCAGCAGAAAGAAAAAAAGAGCTACCAAACTTTGTGACAGCATGGATGGAACTGGAGAGCATGATGCTAAGCGAAGGAAGCCAGGGGGAGAAAGACAAATACCATATGATCTCACCTATAAGCAGAACCTAACCAACAATACAAAGATGCAAGGAAAATAAAACCAGCAACACTGAAAGGAAAAGAAATCAACAGAGACAAGGGGGAAGGGGTGGGGCAGGGAAAAGGAAGGGAAGGGGAAAGTCAAGGAACATATAGGAAGCACTCATGGACAAAACCAAAGGGGAAGAGCTGAGGGAGGGAAGGAGGGAGGGGGGCAAGGGAAAGTGGTGCGGGGTAGGCAGAGACAAATGTATTTGAAAAAATAAATGAAAAAAAGGAAAAATGAAAAAAAAAAGAAATGAAGATCATAAGGAGGGCTATCAGAGTGGAGGGGGTGGGGGGAGAATGGGGAAAAAGGTACAGTGAATAAGAAGCATAATTGGTGGGTACAAAATAGATAGGAAATGTTATAGATAGTATAGGAAATAGAGAAGCCAAACAACTTATATGTACAATCCATGGACATAAACTAAGAGGGGGAGGCAGAGTAGAGGGGGGATAAAAGGGAGAAAAAAATTAGGACAATTGTAATAGCATAATCAGTAAAATATACTTAAAAATAAATGTGTATTATGGCACATAAATTAAAAAAAAAAAAAGCTAGATGTTATAAACTAGTAAGTCATCAGACAGCCAGTCATTCTCTTTGGATTTTCAATGATCCTCTTCATTAGAAATGTTCATTCTCCTCCCTGTAGACCACCATCCTTTGGGAGGTTCTTCTCTCCCATTTCTTTAGTGTTTTTGGCTTGCTGCTAGCCTTTAGTGCCCAAGTACCAACTGGCCTTAACAATATAGGTCCTGGGAAGTCTCCATGTTCAGTGCCATCTGATCACCATTTCTGTATCTCTCAGGTCAAAATATTAAAGGAGAACATCTGATTGACTAAACCTGTGTCAGGTGTCCAGTTCTGCTCCTGACTGGGATGAGAGGCAGGTCCTCTGGTACAAATCTTACTTTCCAAAGCCACCCTCTTTATGTCACAGCTAAAAAGGAAGAGGGTGGAGGATGACAATCCCTCAAAATATATTTGCTACAACACTGCTGAGGTGGAGGGTGGACTCTGTCCTACAGAGTACACTCCGGGTCATCATGGATGGGGGAAATAAAATAAGTCATTCCAGACATATCCCTGTCTGCCAGGGAAAGGAGTGGTGATTCCCCCTAGTGGAGAATGCCCCAGCCCTTCTCTTGAAGTGGCTTTTATTGAGAACCATATGCACAGGGGTATACGGCAAAGCTCATCAGTGTCAAAAGGCTATGTTTACAGAAAACAGAGATCATAGGTAACAATTGAAGGAACACAGGAGATTTACTTCAGCTCAGGGTGGTGCCCATTTAGCCCTGAAACCTGGGAAACTGATCACATTCTATACTCAACCCCAAACATCAGTACTCCTTAATTCAAGGGCATCCTTAGCAAAGTAAGTTTCATAAGATATAATGCATTCTTTTTCCAGGCCGAATTGTCCCCAGGAACTGCCCAATCCAGTTTAGGGCTGACTCTGGTATTGTTTCAAGCCTGAGTCAGGCTGGAGGGTCAGAGCTGCCAAGAGATGAGACTGCTTTCAGATAGAATGAGGACTCTGGCCATATCCAAGCCGAGGCATGACATTTCTTTTTCCCCTTCTCTGTGTCCCCCAAGTCCTTCCCTGATGCCCACACATCTGTGCCTGTCTTAGGTTGCCCCTGCCATTGATGGGCATTACCCGTCATAGAAGAACCAGCCATCCTCTAGGGGCAAGCGGGATGATGTGAGGGAGGCAGGGGCTGTGCCCCTACCAGGGAGACAGGTTTTGTCCTCTCAGTGGCCTATTTTCCCAAGGCCTCCTTGCTCAGCTCCAGCCTGGGGGCCCTCTCGCCTGTCGACAAGGCTGCAGTCCCTGAAACCAAGCAGGACAGTTCCCAACACATCAACTATGTACAAGTTGCTCTGTTTGGCAGTGAGATAATACAGTAGTAACTGGGAATTATTGACCATTTCTCATTTGTCAGACACCAGGATGAATTAAAATATATTTAATCCCATCTCCATATTATACAGGTACTATTATTGATGAGGAAACCAAAGCTTAGAGATGTCAGGTACATAGAACACTAGTCAGTTTTGGGGCCAGGAAGTCTGATTGCATATCAAATCCAGAGCTTATATTCTTAAACATAAAGCTGACTTCCTTTGTTCTAGCATATGAAGGAAATAATGGAGATACCAATCTAGCTGTGAAGATGGAACTCATAAACAAAAAATAGCAAGTTTGCATAATTTGGAGCTAAATAAATGCATAAAATAAACTACATGTTTTTTGAGATTCTGGAGGGAGAAGAGAAAGAACACTGAGCTGAATTGGTCAGAAGGAAAGTGGATCTCTCCAAGCTTTTGAAAAATAGGAGTGTTCACAGCTCAGAACTGTATGAGCTCACATTTCACCTTTGTACTTGACCTGTAGCATCATTTGGTGACTCCAGAGCCAATGTGGTAGACAGAGTCCCACCACTCAGCCTCTGAATACATTGACCTTCTCAGGCCAGGTGATATCCCCTTCAGTAAGTACCACATTACCCACTTCCCCACCTCCCAACCCTTTCCCAGCAGCCTCCTGTTCTTCAGCCACATGGAACCTCATCTCTTTTTCATTGCCAATGCTGTTTTCTCTCACTATGGTATCCTTCCTGGATTTTTATTTGCCTGTTAATCATCTACTTACTGTTCAACCTGAAGCTCAAGTATCATATCTGTATCGAAATTTATTTGTTCTTTATCCCTTCCTCATTCTTGCCATTCAGATTTGGTCAGTCTCCTTTTCTCCTATAATGTCTGCAATTATTTTTTACATCACCTAAAACACTTTGTGAATTTATACTTTTTCATATCTGTTTTCTTATTTTACACTGAAAGATTCTTCAGCACAGGTTCCTTGTCTCTCTTGTTCTTGCATCTCCAGCACTTATCAAAGTATCTGGCACACAAAAGGCACTTTCTAAATGGATACTGAATAGATGGAAGGATGGAAGGAATGGAAGTATGTTTGAAAGCAGAATAATTTGAATTACAATTCTGGTTGTTGTGGTAAACATTTATGTACCACTTAGTAGTACATAAAATATTTTTACATGACTATTCATTTCAGCTTCACAACAGCTCTGTGAGGTGGTTAATTTCAGCAAGAAGGTAATATCTCAAAGCCAGCAAGTGGTAAAGTTGGTTTCCTGAGTTCAGTGTTGGCTTTTTCTGCAATCAGGAGTTCTAACACACAAATTTGGCTTGTTTTGAGGGAAGCTGCCAGAATTAGCTATTACTTAATCTAAGTACATTTCCCAAAGTGGTGATATTTTCACCAAATGTTAAGGTAATATTCTTTTTGGAAACACTGAAGAAAGATCTTAAAGAAAGCTACAAGAAAGCAAGACACAAGATGTGTTAAACATACAGTATGAATTAAAGATTGAAGGTCTGTTAAAATTGTGGTACTTATTTTTCTGTGCCAAATTTTCTTCAAACCAATGTGCAGGCCACACTTTCTAGCCTTGCCCAGGTATCAGGTTCAAAGTCTTAGACCTGCGCCTGCTTTTATTACAACTTAGTATGGGGAGGGTGCTCCACTGGACCCACAGCTGCATTTACAGTGTTCATGACTGAGGACTGGTAAACCTGGAGAGGGCGATGGTTAGGAGGTTCAACAATTTATGTATTTTATTCTCCAAGCCACAGTAGTGATAACATTCTTACCACAATTATTAGATCACATAGATTGGATCATGTTTTACTTAAAACTATTTTTATCATTACCTTTTAATGTACAAAATCAATGCAAAATCAAGCTTATTGTAAAAATCAAGAAAAACAAAAATTAATTTTCTCTTCCTTTCTTCTTTCTCTCTTTTTTATTTTCTTCAGATGGCTTCCCTTTATGTCTCAGGGCATAATACATTCAGAAATTGAACTTTATCTTCAAGGTGAGGATTAATGAAACCTTCAGTTCAAGAAAGTACAAGATGATTTTGATAAACTGAACATCATGGAACAATCTTCAGTTGTCCCCAGGATGTCGCTTTCGATAGTTCACCCTTTGCATCAGATTCGTAGTTGTTTCTCATGGTGAAAATAAAAGCATATGTAAATATGTGGTTTTGCTATGTTATATGCTCTACTGTGAGTTAAAAAGTCAACCTAAGGATTTCCTCTGTTTAAGTGTTAAACTTATACTTTTTTTTCCTTCAACTTATATCATCAAACAGATCTATTAATAATTGCAATTCACTTTTATTTTTGCAGAAATGCAAATGAATCATCAACCTAAAATACAAGACAAAGCAAATGGTAAATGTTGTTGCCACTTTTCATCTTTTAATTATTTGAAATCTATTTCTGTTTCAAGATTACCTGACCTGCACAATTTTGAATATATTCTTATTTAAGTTTAAACTATTGATAGAAAAATATTTAAAATAAATATGGGCACAGACATTAAATTATAGATTGATTTGTAAAGAAACTAACATTAATAACTTTAGCTCCAAATGCTTTTTCTCTTCAATAATTTAAATATAAGAGAAATAATTATTTTTCAAATGATTTATTCTTTTTTTTTACTAAATTTGTGTATTGATTTCTCAGTTGCTTTTTAAGCCTTTTGAGATTAGCTTGCCTACTGGACCCTCTTCAAATCAACCTGTAATGGTGTTATTAATATATTTACATTTTTAAAGTTGATCTGAATGACATGGATAAATACACATAACTAATATGCATATCAATTTAACAAACCTCTATCTTTTCAAAAAATGTTTGTACTGTATGCAGTAATTTGAAAGTAGGCAGGGTTAATACTAACATTATTATATTCAGAAAGTCCTTTATTGATTAGGATGGCCACAGAGATTCAAACATCATGTCCACTTTGATAACTGGCATTTTTATTTATTGATAATAGAAATAGTATTTTGGTTTATATTTTATTTTTTATTTTTCAGTTATTTATCAAGGAAAGGCTCAATGTGTGTCAAACAGTTAATATGGACATAATTTTACCAATGTTTTACAATCTCTTAATAATTTTAAGAGGCCTCAAAAGGTCTGGTCTTACAACAAACCCTTAAGCAATAAAGCTTAAAGTGAGATTCTAAGTACAAAAATTATCCATTATTTCCAGAACTTGATGGGGTATATATGAATAATATAGGTTAATAGTTTTAAACTGAAGATTCTAATTAAGGATGAAAAAGCTGAGTCTTTTTAAAACAGTAATAGCCATGCAATTAACATCAGTGATACTCAATATAATGAAATTGCATTATACATATGGCAGAGGTGTTTACCTAGGAGTTTGTTAGATCACTTTATCAGTCTAATTTTGATTAGAAAAAACTATCATACTTTTTTTTTTGTTATTTCTGTGACAATACTTTTTTGTTGTTATTTATTTTATTTTTTATGGCCTTGTTAAAATGTCTTTAATTTTTATAGTACAAATGTGAGTTAATTGTAGACCTTAGTTCATGAGACTATCATTATTTGTCTGTGAATGGTACTCATTTCATTTCTAAATTCTGAAGAATGTGATCTTTAATATTTATGGGTATACATTTCTAGGAATATATTAGTAGTCTCATAGTTATATGAATACACCAATTTATGATGTGGAAAGAAACTTGAGAAATTATGTAATCTACTCTGTTGAGGTAGTGTTACATTGTGGCTAGGAGTGTTGAAGAGCAAACATGGATCTTAGATTTTGAAAGTATAGGAAGCATGTTTGTATAATTATGCCATTCTATGTAGCTACAATAGTAAGAAAGTATAATAGATCAAGATGCTATTTTAGTTTAATAGTAAGAGAACAGAAGGAATTAACTGAGTTAACTGAATTTTATTTTGAAGTGATTAACAATAAATACAATTATGTTTCCCTATGTACGTGTGTATGTATGTATATATGTATTTGTTAAAGTTGCTATATGTGAATAATTGCATACCTTTTCTTGTCCTATGAAGCTATTTAGGTCTCTGGTATAAGGTGGAATTGAGCAGTAATGGTAATGTTACCAGTGAACACATACAGTATTTGCTAGGTAGGGTCTAATGTTTTAGATATGTTCATTTATTCAATCCTCACAATAACCCATGAAGTAGATTATTTCATTGTTCCATTTCACAGATGGTGAAACTAAAGGAAACAGAAGTTTTTAAAATTCACTTATAATCATACAGGTGGAAAGTAGCAGATTAAGATTTTGAATCCCAATCATTTGACTCCAGAGTCTGTTCTTACTTTAAAGGAACTTAACTGCCCTCAGGCATTAAGAATATTTGTGTATACATTTTCTATGACTTTAAATGTATTTTGTTGTCTGATTTTTCTTATTAAGCTATATTTTTAGGTCGTTAGCCTTCAATCATATTTCCTACACAATTGGAAGAATGTTTTTAACTGTTGGAAGATTATTATTGCTATTGTCATTGTTCTTATTAATCTTTTTCACCCAGAACTTTTCTCAAAACAAATTAGGTTTCTGCTACACTTCCTTTGCTAACAGTTGTGTAGACTCAAACTCTCACTAAGGGTGTAGCCTCTTTTAGCTCATTTCAAAAGCCTCAGGTCCAGCTTTCACCCTTGTGTGGGCCGCAGCCTCCCATCCTCTTGCCTGGACACTAACATCACCACTCCCTTCATGATCACTGACTACTCACCACTCAGTTTTGGCTAATGGCCGCTTTAGTAGTAGTAGTAGTACTAGTAGTAGTAGTAGTAGTAGTAGTAGTAGTAGACAATGGGGAATTTTTTTTTAATTTGCCTGTGAATGAAACATCATACTAAAAAGTTTAGGATTTTTTATTGCAATTTATTCAGAATCTAGTGAGAAGACTTTAAAAATACTATCCCAGGAAACTGGCTCAGAAGTATCAGAATATTGTCTCTTCGACCAATGAGTAAATGAAATAATGTGTTGGGATTCAGCTCTTTTTTCATCGTTTCTCAGTTTTCTCCCTGTTGTTCTCCTGTATCCCTACCCTGCTCCCACAGTAAATCCCCACCCTCTTGTCTTTGTCCATGTGTCTTCTGTACATGTTCCTTGACTTTTTTTTTAATGTTCAAATACATTTGTCTCCATTTTCCTGCTATTACCTTCCCCTGCCCCACCCACCCCCACCTCCCTCCCTCAATCCTTCCGCACTTTGGCTTTGTCCATTCGTCCTTTATACATGTGCCTTGACTTGTCCCTTCTCTTTCTCCCATTATTCCCCTCCTGCCTTCCCTCTGGTCGCTGTCAGTATGTTCCTTGTTTCCATGCCTCTGGTTACATTTTGCTTGCTTGTTTGTTTTGTTGATTAGGTTCCACTTATAGGTGAGATCATATGGTATTTGTCTTTTGCTTCCTGGCATATTTCACTTACAATGCTCTCCAGTTCCATCCAGTTCCAACCATGAAGGATAGGAGCTCCTTCTTTCTGCTGCATAGTAATCCATTATGTAAATGTACCACAGTTTTTTGATCCACTCATTACTGTTGGGTGCTTAAGCTGTTTCCAACACTTGGCTATTGTAAATTGTGCTGCTATGAACATTGGGGTGCATAGGTTCTTTTGAATTGGTGTTTCAAGATTCTTGGGGTATAATACTAGCAGTGGGATCACTGGATCAAAAGGCATTTCCATTTTTAGTATTTTTTTGAGGAAATTCCACACTGCTTTCCACAGTGGCTGCACCAGTCTGCATTCCTATCAACAGTACACTGGGGTTCCCTTTTCTCCATATCCTCACCAGCACTTGTTTGTTTGAATTCAGCTCTTAAATGTCATATAAAATTGAGTGACTTTAAATGATTCAGCTCCTTCCATGCTCTCAAGGGTTTCTGACTTTGAGAAACTCTACAATTCCTGGAGCACTTAGTCATTTATTTACAGGCAATGACAACTCTTTGTGTCATGATTAGCAACTTGGTGGATTATGGTGGTAAATATTATTAAACTATTTTCTCTCTCCTCTTGATTCCATTTTCCATACATGCTTACTGGCCTTGCTACCCAAATGGTGTCTACTATTGGAAAGAAATTGAAATTGAATTATTAGTTTCAGCTAAACATAATTAAGAACATAAACTATTTTATAACATCGTCATGCCCTCCTAATCTAATGTAAATGGCTTTGGATTGCCACCTGCTGTGATGATTTATGGCACACATTTTTATAAGACTACTAAGCTTATAGACATAAAGTTGTTTGGACATAAAATTATAAAATATTAGAATAAAGTAATAATTTGTCTGTTTACAGTATCTTTGCCACATCTCATTGAAATATATTTATACCCTTCAAAATTTTGGCGATAAAAAGTCAATACCATTTCTATTATTTTTGTGCTAATAACAAGCTCAATTATGAGGCAAATAACAATGTCCTTGTCATTTGTATGAAAACTGACCTTGCTTATCCTTCCTCACATGTGCAGTCTTACTTTTCAAAATACTCTTTAGCGGATCACAAAGTTTTTATAAATCATTCACTCATCCATTTTTTTTTGAAAGGCCACTGTGTGTAAAATATCATACTAAGCAATGGGAACATAGACACATTTAAGACCAAAACTTGCTCTTTAAGTGGCTTACAATTTGTGTAGGTAGATAGGGATAAGAGGGCACAGAGAGATGGCACTTATTCTCATATTTAAAAGTTGAAGTGTTCAGAGTCCAACAGAGGCATGGAAAGAAGGGTTCATTCTAGTTATTGGAAAGAATGTCTGAAAATGCTTTTCAGAGGAGTTAACTTGTGAGCTGAACCTGGACTCCGAGCTGAGAGGAGGAGAAAAGAGGTAGAGGAGTGACATTTCTGAAGAGGGATTTTAAACAAAGTCCTAGAGGTGGGAAGGAGTCCTTTAGGATGGCTGAAGAATAGTTCAAGGGAAAGTGGCTGTGTGAGAGTGGGTTTCAGAGGGCCAGAGGCTGCTTGGTGGGGTGCTGTGGGCAGTGGGCATCGGTATCATGAATAGAGTTGAATGCATCATTTGACAGGCGCGCCAATCTGTGAGTAATGTTCAAATATCACTGTGGATGTAAAGATGGAGAACAATTTATTTGTTCTGACTCTCACCAAGAGCAAAGGGAATATGGGTAGGAGGAATTGTTGGATTCAGCCCCTGGAGTCTGGAGGACCGGCACAGAGATTTGGGAAAGGGGATGGATCTGGTTAAAGTTAGGGCTGTTGCTCCCCTCAGTTACCTCCTGCCGCAGTGCTCACCTCCATCCCCCTGCCGCAGTGCTGTCACCTTCCACCCAGTGAGAGTCGAATAAACATTTCATGCTTAGCGGTGTTGGTCTCCTTA